AGGGCTGGGTTAAAAAGACAGACAGGGGAGGAAAAAAAAAAAGGGGGGGGGGGGAGGTTCTGTGTGTGTGCCTGTGTGCACATGTGTACACCAGATTTTGCATGGTTATTTCAATTTAATTTAAAATACTCTTTTGACCTAAACTGAGTTGAGTTTAGGAGATGCTGGTACAGCTCTTGAATAGTATTGAAAAGTAAATAGCAGCGCTTACTGCTTGCTTTTTCTTTTCCCGTTAGCTCTTATTTGAAACTGAAAGCAGAATGCAGGGCAGGACGACACTTTAAACAGTAACTCGTTCAGTCAGTCTCTGCAGTGCCACCCCTATTTTCTGCCTGGCTAGACTAAACCAACTAACTACCTCTCTAGAAATGACAGCACAGCTCTCAGCCTGGGTTGGGGACTAGACTGTTACACTCTCATGCAAGTGATGTGAATTCCCACAGGGGAAGGGAGCCTGGTCCCAGCACCACACAGTCTCAGGTGGGTCTTCTCACCGCTATGTTGCTGGGCCAGAAGTGGGAGAGATGGATACTCTCACTTGCTTCTTGGTCAGCTTCAGCTTGGGGACTTCACACTGCATTCATGTGAGTGCTCAGTGGAGAAGAACCATGGCCAAGCGGACATGGACTTGTACTGAATGGCTACCAAGCATGTGCAAGAGCTGCACAGGGGGCACATCTACACATTAGTTAATATGCTGTAATTGTGGTGAATAAAGTTTAATGCCTGTAATCACAGATACTAACTTAATGTGCCATAGTTGATGCTACCATGCATTAGTGCCAGCTCATGCTTTTTAAGTGAAGCTAATGCTCAGTAGACAAATTCTACTGTGCATTAACGCATTAGCACATTTTTTTCATGCTGCACTAATGCACAGTACACTTGGTCTAGTGAGCTGTTAGTATCTCATGTAGACATGCCCAGGGTGTAACAATAACTGTGTACATGAGACTCAGGCCTTTACCTGAGACTAAGGAGAATGTTGTTGGATGAAAGACACAGAAAGTGGTAGTGGCTGTCAGTACTAGTTAGGCCTGGAGAGGTTAGAGAGAGTTGGGAGGTGGGTGACAACGATGACAGAGGGTTGGAAAGAAAGTCTTACGAGAGGGGCTGAAGGAGCTGGGCATGTCCTGGTAGTAGAAAAAACAGTTTAGAGGGGACATGAGAGCAGTTTTCAAATACCTGAAGGCCTGGCATGGCGAAAAAGGAAAGCAAGTTTCCTCTCTTGCTGCAGAGATGAGGACATGGACCACTGGCTTGAAGTTGCAGCAAAGCAGTTTTAGATTGGACATCAGGAAAACCATCTTCACTGTAAAACAGCGAGGCCACGGAATAGATGCTGAGGGAAGGGGTGGACTCTCCATCATTGTGGGTGTTGAAAAGATGTTGAACAGGCAGTGGGATGATCTAGGTGTAGCTCTGCATATGTTCTACTACGGGTATTTCCCAGGTTTCTGGGCTTTGCTGGTTGCCACATGGGGCCAAGAAGGAATTCTTGCCCCACCTCCGCCGTACTGCTACGTCAGGGATTTTGTAAGCCTCCCTTTGAGGGGCTGGGTACTGTCTGCAGCCCTGCCTGGGGACTTTGACTGGGCTGCACCAACCCTCCTTCTGGGACTTAAAGCTGGAGGTTCCTGGCTAGAGGGTCTTGCCCCTTTGCTCCAGGTCAGACTGGTGCTGCATTTGGGGTCAGAAAGAAATTTTACCCCTAGTCATATTGCTGAAGGCTGTGAAGATCGTTGCCTTCTTTTACATCAGGGCATGACCCTCCTCCTGGGATCTCTGAAGCAGTGGAGTTAGGTGCGGGCTGTGATGTCTTGTGTTGTGTTAAGGTTGTGTTAAGGCTGACTATGTAGTTTTGCTAAGAGGTTGGACAGTAGATTTGTGTGGGATGGGTTGGCCAGGGTAGACAGTGGAAGCAGGGCTCACGTCCCACAGAGCAGCAACACACTTTGAGCCACACAAAGTCAGGCTCCCTCCTGCTTGTTCTCCTTCTGTCCCCAAGATGCCGTCCCTCTTTTTTCCCCCTGACCTGGCCACACCAGGAAGGTGCTCTCAGCCTGGCTGGGTGATTAGGCTGCTCCACTGTGATGTGGGAGGATCCCATGCCCTTATGAGCAGGTGATCCTGGGACCTGCACTCCCCAGTCTCTCCTGTCCCCTTTTGCCCTGTTCTAACCACTTGGCTACTGGGCAAAAGATCAGACGGGGGTCCCCTTCTCCTGCTCTTTGGTCAGTACAAGTTTGCACTATGCCTCTGTGCATCCTCAGTGGGGCACAGAGTGCAAATGAGTGCAAACGGATCTAGGCCTCTACAATGCAGCACTAAACAGCTGCCAAACAGGTGCTGTAGTTGCAAAGAGTTAAACTGTGACTGCTTTCAGGAGGCTCGGGCCCTTAAATGAATCCTGGAATCCGAGAGAGGGAGGCCAGGACGAGACCCCCGGAGGCCACATCTAGCCTAACCCCTGCCTGAGGCAGGATCAACCCTGTCCAAATCGTGCCAAGCAAATCCAGTCTCTAACCCATGAGTAAAACTGCACAGAAAACCCTGACACAACACAAGATGTTTCCACCTGAGATTAAGAATGTAGTGGGGTGACTAAAAACTGTGGAAGTCCCTGATGTGTCTTAGCAGCGAAAGAGGAACTGCCCTAAACATGGATGAGATCTTAATATTAACTGATTTAAAAGAAATGAAAAAACAAAGCTCTCAGTAGCTGCTGTCAAGAAACTTCCAAATGGGTTTTAACTTTCCCCAGCTCCAAATCACTCCCTCTTTCTGCAGCTGCAACGTCTCTTTGTGAGGCAACCTCTCCTCCCAGGGCAGTTTTTTCTCTGTGTTTTCTCTGACTTCTGTGCAGTTACAAAAAGGCTTTCTCAGAAGCCTAATGCTTTTACTTTTGTTCTGTAGGTGACCACCGACACCACTATGGGAGGAAATGCAAGTTCAGTGAGTATCACACCAGGCCCTTGTACTGCAAATTCAAGCTCAGTGGTTCTCAACCTTTTTAGACTCAAGGCCCTCCTCAGAAAACACCAGCTCTCAGCATTCACTCCTTTGTTGACTCCAGAAAAACACTAGGGCAATTCTTCTGTTGCCAGGAACTCAGCAAGGCGGCAGCAGCCAGAATGGTTTGGATGCTCTGCATTCCTATTTGAAATCTCTGGGTTTATCTCGTGCATGATGCTAAGGTGTCTGCCCACCTAACACTGTAAATCCTGCCTGTCCCCTTGTGGGACCCTGGTTGAGAACCACGGTTCCAGCACATGGGAATTTGGGGGGTTGTGTCTCCAGGGAGATCAGCTTTGTGCTGTGGCTTCATGCCATCTTTGCTCTAGTCCCTAGCCCCGCACCAGGGGTTGGATGTGATGGAGATGCTGCAGGGAACAGCTCTCTGGGAGCTGTGTCTGGGCAATGGGGATGAGGGTAGGGTGTGATCTAACGTTCAGCTCCAGTCATCCCTGGTTTGTGAATAGAGGGGCTCCTGAGTGCTTCACAGGGGCATTCATGCAGGGGGGCTGGGAACTTGTCTCTGTACATTCCTGTTTCACCTGCCCTGTATTTCTGTGTTGCAGCTTTGTATTAACCTCATTTCATTTTTTCAAACAAACTTTTCAGCCAGAGATATTGCAAGAACAGGAAAAAGGTAAGGAAACAGCCTGTGCGCTGCTCGTGTTCTTGCATTTCTTCTCAGCTCAAATTTTCCTCTCATGAACGTGGAAGTCTAGATGTCCCCAGGACCTTATCCCTGCTTTAGAAATATCTCTGTCCACCCAGTAGACTTCCCCCGGGTTCCATGGTTCCCTTGCCTTAACCTCTGCAGCAAATGCTTTAAACAAGACGTGCAAACACTGATGATTTTCAGTCCTTGCCTTTCCTAGTCAAGGGTGGCAACTGGGCCAACTATCTCATCTTTGCTGTCAGACGGGCACAGAATACTCCTTTCTAAAAATACTTAGAGTGGGAGCAACCTTTTTGGCAGGCGGCCACAATGTAATCCCTGCCCCCACTAAGTGCCGCTCTGATCCCCCTCCCTGATCTGCTGCTCAGCTTCCTGCTCCCTGCTCCTGTTTCCCCTGCTCCCTGCTGGATCTGCCGCATGCCATACACTGAGGCTGCTCTGGCCGCTTGTGGCACGTGTGCTACAGGTTGGCCACCCTGGTCCATGACTATATTTCAGCCCCTCAACCAGCGGAGCTGCACGGGTGCAAAGATCCTCCCCTTGAAACTCAACCTTCGACGGCTGCAGTCCCTTTACAGACACAACCATTGCAAGGTCAGTAATGCTCTTCTGTTTTCCCAGTCCCTGAATTTCTTCTGCCTTTGCAAACAGCTGGCTCTCTCCAGGCTGCACTTCTGCCTCGTGGCTTCATGGACAGGGTGGGGAAAATGGTCTGGGGCTCAACGCAGGTGTTCGCCGCACTTTTTACACTGTGGGCTGGGACATGAGCACTGTGGAGGGAAACTCTCCTCTGCAGCTAGACCGCGGAGCCCGAGCAGGGAGCTGCAGAGAACTTTGTGCATGGGGGAGGCTGGTGCCCTCAGCATAGTGATGCAGCCCTGCCAAAAGGCCTTCAATCCCTTGATTCCCCCATCAGCTTCTCCACCTGGGAGAGAGCCCCGGGCATCTCGCCATCACCTTGCCCTGTCTGGAGCTCCTCCAGCAGTTTCTTCCTGTTAGTTCCTCCCTTTCCCTTTACTGTTTCCCTGCTGCCTACTCCTGATTTTCCTCCCTTCTTTGCCCATTTCCCCTTTTTCTATTTTCACTACCTCTTCTTCTCTTTCACAGTCTTTTTCCCAGTTCTTTTCCCCTCACAACTATAACATTATAGGCAAAAGGCCTGTTTCTCATGGTACAAAACGCCCCAGTCTCCAGGTAAAATCAGTGGTCACTCACTTGCTTACATGACTGAAAATCCTGTTCCAGTTAAAATCCTGGCAGCAATGCGGTAAAGGTCTGGGGGTGGCAGTGCACTGCAGAGGCAAGGTGAGCCAGGAGTGTGATGCTGCTGCAAAAAACCAGCAAATACAATTTGGGGTTGCATTACCAGAAGTGTTGTAGCAATGAGGAGAGAGCCCAGCTCTGCTGGATGCTGATTAGACCTCAGCTGCAGGATGATGTGATGTTCAGGGCTCTGAATTTGAAGGAGGGGGTAGAGACATTGCAGCAGATCCTGAGACGAGTGACAGAGAGGGAAAAGGGGCTGGAAGTATATTTCATTTGGAGAAAAATTGATTCCAGGGTGACAAGACAGCAGCTTCTCAGTACCCGAAAGGCTGCCATAATGAAGACGGAGGCACATAATCCTCTCTTGTTATGAGGGGCAGGACACATGGCAGTGGCTTAAACTGCAGGTGACCAAATTTAGGAGAAATATCAGGAGAATTGCCCTAAGCGTGATCACAGCAGTGGATGGAACAATCTGCTGAGACAGTTCAGGAGTCTCATTAGGAGGGGTTTCCGAGATGAGGCTGGATGTACATCAATCTAGGGTGGCTGAGGAACAGGGAATCCAGCCTTTATATCGGGGTGGTGGAGGACAGGATGCCTCAAGGTGTCTTTCAGTCCAGGGCCCCTGTGACAGCTGGGGCGCCCACCTTCTAGCTCTCCAGTGCATCTGTCTGTTAGTCCCATATTGCTGCTGTGATACCAGGGAGAGCTGAGCACTGCCTTGCCCCACTCCAGCCCAGCTGTCCCTACTCTGTGCAGGGGGGCTGTCTGGGAGGTGATCCAAGGCCTCCAGGGACAACTGGCTGACCATGCTCACCCCCCCCCGTGCTGCCCAGCCCCCACATGTCCAGCACCCCCAGGCCAGTGAGCTAAGCCCTCACAGCATCTCGAGGAACAGAAGCAGAAACCTCACAAGCAGCTGCTGTTACTTGACTGCCTTTATGGTGACCCGGTGACCCTTTCTCCCCACAGGCCCAGGCTCCAACCGCCAGTGCCCCAGGAAATCTGAGCTGAGGATTGTTCTCGTTGGTAAAACTGGATGTGGGAAAAGTGCAACAGGAAACACCATCCTGGGGGGAAAGCCTTTTGTGTCTAAAATCACAGCTGGATCAGTAACAACAAAGTGTACTAAGAAGATGAACATGCAGGATGGCAGAAACCTGGTGGTGGTTGATACTCCTGGTTTATTTGACACGAAAGTTTCTTTAAATGAAACTGCAAAAGAAATAGGGCGCTGTGTGGTTGTCTCCTCCCCAGGTCCCTATGCCATCGTTCTGGTCATGCAGCTGGGGCGTTTCACGGAGGAGGAGAAAGAGACAGTTGCTCGAATACAAGATATATTTGGGGAAGAGGCTGTTCGATACATGATCTTCTTATTCACCAGAAAGGACGATTTACAGGGGGGGAACTTAGAGGACTTTTTAAAAGCACTTGATGACAAAGATCTCCAGCAGCTGCTGGATAAATGTGGAAGGCGCTGCTTGGCTTTCAACAACAGAGCAACCGGACAGGAACAACAGGACCAGGTCTCTGAGCTGACGGGAATGATCGATGCGATGGTGGAGCAGAATGGAGGTGATCACTACACCAATGACATGTATGAGTATGCTCAGAGGGAGCTTCGAGTGAAAATGGAGGAGCTCAGGAAAAACTACACTGAGCAGATGGAAAGAGAAAGAGAGGACAAGAAATCTCAGCTGGATGAGGAACATAAGAAGGTGGATGAGGGATTAAGGGAGAGAATAGAGGAGTTAAAAAAATGCAGCCCAGTTGATCAAACCACTTTATCATGCCTAGAACAAGAAGCCCAAGAGAAGAAGGAAGCCATTCAGCAAAAAATGGAGAAAGAGCTACAGGAAATTAGTGACCGCTACCAGAAACGTCTAAATAACCTCCGGGAAGAAGCTGACAATGATGTTTCTATAATAGAGTTTGTTTTAAAGAAATTTGAAGCGATATTTTCAAAAATCAAAAACTGGTTCAAATAATAATGATTACATTACCATAAGTTCTGTTTCTCAAATAGTGTTACCTTAAGGCGTGTGTAGACGAAACAGAGGCCCTAAATTGAAGAGGTGGGTTTTAAAAAACACCACTTTAATTTAGGGCTGATTAAATCCCCGTGTCGTGCACACCCCCCACTGACTTGCCTGCCTCTCTGGCAGGGAGGGGAGGGTGAGCTGCTGGAGGGTGAAGTGGTCCCTGGGCTGCGGAGGGGCTGATGCTTTCCCCCATGGCAGTGGTGCCCCCCTGCCCCCAGCATCCACGGGCATCTGGCTCAGGTGGTCCTGGGGGAAGCACAGCCATGGAGGCAAGCACCAGGCCCCCACACAGCTCAGGCAGGCAGGCAGGCTCCTGGTGGGGGGGTGTTGGAAATCAGGCTTGCCGCTTTTCTTGGGCAGAGCTACTTTCCCAGGCTTCCTGCACAGTCGCGGAGCTGCATGGAGCCTGGTGCTTTGCTCCGTGGCTGTAGGGGCAGCAAATTAAAACTCCTTGAAGTTCTAGTTTGCTGTGCCCCAAGTCATTTAAGGTGCATTATGCCACCGAATTTCCTGCAGCAGCTTGAATTAATGTGCAATACACCACTGAGGGGTGCAAACACTGACACCATTAAAGTGGTGCAAAAACATTTAGCCCTCTTTAAAGTGAGAGGCATGTGTGCACAATGTTTTGTCTACACACGGTCTTAGTTCAGTCATCATAAGTAGGTTTTGCTTCCTTGAAAAACTTTAACACCCCCTGGTAATTCTGTGTAGTAGATTATCTGTGTATAAGTTTTTTTAGTCATCTCCCAACACAGCCTGTGGCCAGTTTCTACATGGTCTGGAAAAAAATTGGACTGTTATGATTTGTTCTTTATTAGTGTGACTATAGAAAAAACCCTTGCAGACCTGACAACCAGCATGACCAGCAAAGTAAAGGAGCCATTACCATGTTCAGCTAAATTAGGAATGAGATTAAATTAAACAGAGCACAAGGCCTGAAAGGAGACATTATAAGGGAAGACCATGCATGATATAATCCAAATATTCTATATTGTAGTTTTATTTTATGGTAACCGAGGTAACCACATGTATTAGATGCTGTTTTGATGTAACAGATATATTTCTGTTAAGATTCTTAGATAAATTGTAAAAACAAAGCAGCCTTTTTTATGGAACACAGTGCATTTTGGAGAAGAGAAAACAGCCCAGTGGCAAATAATATCCCAGAACGGTGAAGGAAGGAGACAAGAAAACCTTCCTCCCAAAGTGTAACTTGCACAGACAGACATAACAGGTGGATATATATCTTGCTGGGATCACTTGATCTCAGCTGACTTCCTGCCTGTGGTGGGAGGGCTGGACGCAGTGATCTCATGAGGTCCCTTCCAGCCCCTAATGTCTATGAAATCTATGCATCCAACTCCTTTTACGGCCACAAGAAAACTGGTTCAGTCCATTTCCAAAAGTTTTGGTAACAAAAGCACATTGTAATTAAACCAATCTGTTATTAGAATATTAAAACCAACCACCTACAAACATGGGCCTTTCCAGGCAGTAGAGGTAAAAATCTGTGTTGTGCCATCATGGGCAACCAGATGGACTTTGGGATAAGCGTTAGTTTCTCTTTTTGGAGGTGCAAGCAATAAAAGTTTGGGCTGCAGACCTGTTTCTGCCTCTTTTATCAGTAGCCAACCTGCAAGGTTACCTGCGATCCAGGAAACAGGGCACAGAACGACTTCTACCTGTAACCCGAACCCTGCCACAGGCCATTCTTCCCATATTGCGCTCCCTGTCTCAGGCTTGAGTTTAAATCTCATTCTTTGGCCCCCAAACAGCAGGAGCTGAGTGCCACTCCAAATTTTGCATATGTTCAGGGACCTGTGGTAATAGTTGCCCCATTGGAGATGGTTTGGGTAGTCCTTTTTACATGGTTTATGGTGAAAAGGTACCTCCATGTCCCCTTGTCTTACCTGTGATCATGAGTGATTTAAGGTCTGTCTGAACTAAAGCCAGAGTCCTGGAGAAGTATCTGGAAGGTACTTCCAAAGGTCACAACTAGCCCAGACCCTTGCCTGAGTCAAGATCAGCCTTGTCCAAACCATCCCATACAAGTCACGGATGGCATGGGGAAAGTAACCAGTGATTTAGCATTTAGTGTCCCTCATGACACTAGAGGTAAGGGGCACACAATGAAATGTTTAAGAAGCAGGTTTTCTTTCTTTTTTTAAAGACAGATGTTTTTCCATACAACGGGACAGGTGCTCTTCCCTGTCTAAGCACATCGGTCGATTTAGATGCCTGAAGATGTAGTTACACCTTACCCTTAGCACATGCTAACATCAAGGACGGTTACTTGGGGTTGAAGATGACATGTGCTTTCATCACTCACACATGAAGGGCTCATACCCTGTCAGGTACACTGCTCTGACCTGCCTTGGAGGGCTGGTGAGTAGGGCCATGGCTAGGAGCCACGTTGACTTTGTGTCTGCCAGTTTGCCTGCTCTCTGGGGCAGCATAGGTGGCCCAAATTTGAACCATTCCAGCCCCTGCCTGTCCAGATGGTGTCCTTGTCACCACCTCCTGGCCTGGATCAGACCCATTGCCCAATCCCTACCTACTTGGATAGGGTCCGTCACCCTGGACCAGGTTTGCAGCTCCCCTTCCACCTGGGATCGGGCCCACCAAAGCCCAACGCCAACCCGGATTAGGCCCAACACCCAGGAGAGGGCTTGCAGCTCCCGTTTTCTGTCAGCCTACATTGGGCCCACCACCCACCACCCTGGATTGGGCCCTCCTGGAGAAGCTGGATCTGTGATAAGATACAGGACCTGTGCGTGCGGTGGTTGTCCAGAGTGCAGACTCACTTCTCCTGATGCTCTCTACAGAGGGGTGGGTTTTCTGGGTTGGTGGTAAGGTGTCTCTACAGCTGGACCACCTCCCCCTAAAGCTGATCAGAGGCAGCCTACTTCTGCCGGGTGTGCCCCCAGGTGTAGTTGTGGCACCAGAGCCTCCTGTAAACTGTTATTTAATGCCAGAGGAATGGGCTAGGCTGGTGCGAGAAGATAGATGTATCTCCTGTCTAGCTGGGAGTGGCATGCCTGATGTGTGCTTCTGCTTTGACAAAGATACACGTGGTGACATCATCAGGGTGGTACAGGCTTTCTGTTTTTTGAAGAAAGGGCTTGGTCACCAATATCTCCTCTCCTGGCTGATTTGATCCTGCACCTCAAGGGTGATGTTGAAGTCCTCAGCAAGGACCAAGCTCTCAGAAGGACTACAGCCGCTGAGATAATTTGGTCTGGGGCTCAGGGGATTGACACAGCTGGCTGCCGGCTGACAGAACTGTATCATCTCTGAGTTGTTGACACAGAAACTAGTCAGGGATGATCCAGGCTTAGTGATGACTATGTCCTGTGATGGATATTTCCCAGGCTGCTGGGCTTCGCTGGTTGCCATATGGGGCCAGGAGGGAATTCCTGCCCCACCTCTACACTACTGCTGCATGTGTCAGTGATTTTTTAAGCCTCCATCAGAGGCACTGGTTGTTGGCTGCAGCCAAGGCTGGGGACCGTGACTGGGCTGTGACAATGCTCCTGCTGGGACTTAAGTAAGTAACAGTCTCCTCTCCACTTCCCCAGCACTTGGGATATTGGAGTCAGCACGTACAAGTTCTGGATGAAGAAGGCCAGCCAGCACATTTGCTTTCTCTCTGTAACATTGCAGCAGCAGCTTTGTTCCTAACATTTGGTTCAGCCTTTTTTCCTCTAATTGTTGTAAAAGAGGCCAGAGGAATTCAATCACTACCTACCTTTGTTTTTCTGCATCACCTCAGAGAAGAAATGTCTTTCAGTGTCTCAAGATCAGACCAACTTCTGTGTCAGCTTCTGCTCACTTTGCAGCTCAGAGGGATGCCGGTGAATGGTGTATGCTTCTGTACAGTCTACGTTTCAGTGATCAAATGCATAAAAGATGTACACAGACTGTGCTGAAAACCAGCGAGTCACCTCAGGACCAAGGATAGCGCTAACATGGCCAATCCAGGGCTAAATCATTCTGGTTTTCTTATGATCTATACTTTCCTCCCTCACCTAAAAGCTGATTTTTATGCTGAAAGTGCTGTAAATCTTGTGGTCACTGATGCCCAAGGTGCCATCCATTTCTACATTCTCTACCAAGTCATTTTCTCTGTTTGTGAGTGGTATCTCAAGAAAAGCATGGCCCCCAGTTGGCCACTCCAACACTTGTACCAGGAAGTTGTCCTAAACACCCTCCAAAATCTTTCTGGATTACCTGTCGGCGCTGCTGTATTGCCCTCCCAGAAAATGTCAGGGGGATTGAAGTCCCTCATGAGAACCAGGGCCTGTGATTGGGAAACTCTCAGTAGCTGTTTAAAGAAAGCCTGAGCCACCTCATCCTCCTGGTTTGGTGGTCTACAGCACAAAATCACCCTTGTTGCTCTCCCCTCTGACGCTAACCCAGAGGTTTTCAATTGGCCTATGTCCAGTTTCATACTGGATTTCTGAGCAATCATGCAGATCTTTTACATCTAGCACAACTCCTCCTCCTCTTCTCTCCTGCAAGTCCTGGTAAAAGCTGAATTATGGTGTATTCTGTTGTTGGAGTAGCTACATGAGCAGTGAGATGCGTTTGTTCCTGTGCTTTTGGGATGTGACAATTAAAAGTTCAGGCTACAGATTTGTCTCCTGCCTCCTTTCTACCAGGGTGGTGGTAATTAAAAGTCCTGGACCTAGACACCTGCCCCTTAACTGAAGGGCCATGAAAGTGAAAGAGATTGCCATTTCTGGGAAATGGTCTGAACAGAAAACACATACCACTTCTGCTGGCTGTTACTCAATTGCTTCTACCACTTCCAGCTTGGGTGGAGCACAAGGTCACCAGTGGATGTGAATGCACTAGCAGAAAGGCTTACAAGAACTTCATAGATTTCATAGATTTCATAGACATTAGGGCTGGAAGGGAGGTCGGAAGATCATCGAGTCCAGCCCCCTGCCCGAAGGGCAGGAAGTCAGCTGGGGTCATAGGATCCCAGCAAGATAAGCATCCAGTTTCATCTTGAAGGTGTTCAATGAAGGCGCTTGAACCACCTCCGATGGCAGGCTGTTCCAGACCTTGGGGGCTCGGAC